AACATACTCTCGCGATAATAACGGTAAATTTTCGTAATGGGCTGGTAATCACTAGATTGTATTGCATCATTCGGTCCCCATGATAAAAATCCCCATTTTATCTTGATTTCAAACGAACATGTCAAATAAGGTTTGCAGCTATCACACAACATAAATGAATCACGTTTGCTGTTTTAGTGAGTCACCTTTAGGCCAAGATGAATTGGCTTGTTGGTTAGTGGGAAAATGCGCAAACATTAGTTGGCAAAATGTCGACTAGGTTCGGTATTTTGTGAATGAAGAAGCGGATGTTGTTTGCCACCACAGTAGGCAATATTCCCGCTCTCGCACGGAGCCTGAAGATCGGACCAGTGATTGATAGTATGAACATCTAACCACTCTATTCGCTTTAGTGAGTGAGTGAGTGAGAGTTGTGTTTTACGCCGCTTTTAGCAATATTCCAGCAATATCACGGCGGGGGACACCAGAAATGGGTTTCACACATTGTACCCATGTAGGGATCGAACCCGGGCCTTAGGCGTGACGAGCGAACCATTACCCACCAGGCTACCCCACCTCCCCCTATTCGCTTTAGCATGCAGTGGCATCTTTAGACGTCACTAGACTAACGCTTAGTCTCTGAATACATATACGTTTGATAGAAACAAACAATTCTTTTAAATTGTAAAGGTTTTACACCGCTTTTAGCAATATTCCAGCAATATCACGGCGGGAAACACCAGAAATGGTCTTCACACATTGTACCCATATGGGGATTCGAACCCGGGTCTTCGGCGTGACGAGCGAACGCTTTAACCACTAGGCTACCCACCGCCCGAAATTGAAAAGGAGCCCCAGTGAGAAGGGAGATTGAGAACCTGAGGATATCTAAACTTGCTTCATTTTGGGCTGTTCCATTGCAAGGCGGGCTAGGCAGTAGGGAAACTGTTGCGGTTCAGGGGGCGTGAGACAGAATGGAGGCCTACCGCTGCCCGATGGCACTGGAGGTGTCGGCATGTGATGTTCTTTCGAACAAAACCCGGTTAGAACTGGTCTTCAGCAACCCATGCTTGTCGTTAGTGGCGACTTACGGGATCGTTTGTCAGGCGCGATGACTTGGTTGGCACATGTCATCGTATCCCAATTGCGTATATCGATGCTCATGCTGTTGATCACTGAATTGTCTGATCCAGACTAGATAATTTACAGACCGCCGCCGTATAGCTGGAATACTACTGAGTATGGTGTAGAACCAACCAACTTTATCATATCCAGAGAACGGTTTATCCACAAACTACCCGACCATATCGTCAATGGATGCGGTGACAGGTTTAAACTGGTTCGCGGCTCCCTTTGCGCGTCGTATATAGCGATAGATGAGAGACAACAACCAAACCATATTTGGTACAACAACGAAATGTGTTAACTTGACAAGCTAGGTGTCTTGAAACACGTGCGATGCCCCCTCATATCGGAGGAAAACGTGGGAAACTATATTTCAGACATACCACGCCGTGTTAACCTGATTTGAAATAAAACCGGAAGTGATACAACTGCCACAACTTGGAACCTGAATCAGGGACCCTCGCGATAAGAAACCAACGATCATATGTTTTTGCCGCGTCTAAGGGACGAAACTCTGCACGGCGAATTTCGTCGCCTCAGACGACTGAATCACCCACGGCAAACGGTACACCTTGATTTAGATTTTGAAATTGTATCAAAAATAACTTTAATTTGGTTTGTGTATAAATCAAATGAACAGATTATGACTAAAAAGATAAAGATAATTAGGGATACGGAAAAACGGTATAATCTAAATGCCTCGGTAAAAATAGGTTATTTTAGAAAAAATGACACTTTGGTTAACCCAAACCTCTAATGGAAACCATTATTTACGCAATGTGTCAAGCTCTTAGATGGCCATTGTTTACGAGTGTGGGTAATTGACCGAGTATTCTCAGCTTTGAAAAGTGTCATTTTCGCATAACCGCCCACAACCGAGGAGTTTTGATTGACGATCGTGAACAAATTTGAAAATGATTATCTTTGCCACAACTGCAGCTATCGGAGTCGTGCTAAGTAGAACCTGATTGCTGATTGATGACGCGGAGTAATGTCCCGCGAAGAGTTCAATACAATGAAACTAGATATACTGACGGTAAAAAGTAACGTAACAGTCTGAAACAGTTCACGCCATAACATACACTCCTGTGAGGCGGATACAGTAATAAATCAATGCCATCTATTTGTTTTTGTTTTCAAGGGTAATAAAACGATAAAAATCATGCACTTTTTGTTGTTGTTTATTGTTGTTTAATTCCAACTCTATGGCGGCGGTGTGTAAATAACCGTGTTTTGAGCTGACAAATGAGTAAATAATATTCCCAACCATCACCTTACGCCTTTGGGTTACGACGATGCGCAATGACGAAACTTTCTTCTGCATTTTCATGGCGTTGTTACCTGTACCGCTCGTTTAGGCTAGTGGGTCTTGAGTGAGTGAGTGAGCATGGTTTTACGCCACTTTTAGCAATATTCCAGCAATATAACTACGGGGGAAGAAGCAATGGGCTTCACACGAGCGGACGTTTTCACAACGCTTTAACCACTAGGCTACCCCACCGCCCCTCAAGACAGACAGTGTAGTTTGACGCCGCTTTTAGCAATATTCCAGCAATATCACGGCGGGGACACCAGAAATGGGCTTCACCCATTGTGCCCATGTGGAGACTCGAACCCGGGTCTTCGGCGTGACGAGTCAACGCTTTAACCACTAGGCTACCCCACCGCCCCTCAAGAACTCATAAATTAAAGAGGTGGTTGGGTAGCCTCGTGGTTAAGGTGTTCGCTCGTCACGCCGAAGACCCGGGTTCGATTCCCCATTCGGGTACAATGTGCGAAGTCCATGTCTTGTATCCCGTGATATTGCTGGAATATTGCTATAAGCTGCGAAACACTTAAAGCCACTCACTCAAAAAGTTGAAACTCCAGGACAAGCCCTGTTGAAGGTTACAGAAGGGTAAGAAGAGACCTTTCGTATGTGATACGCTTTAAACACATTTTGAATTTGACGTTGATTTGATCTTTGAACCTTTGTTCAACGCCTATAATTCGCCTTGGGTTATAGAAATGAATCCGCTTCCACCCATTGGTATTGTGTAAAACGTCACTCTGTTGTATTAAAGCTTTGAGTTGAGTTGAGTTTTACGTCGCATCGGCAGTATTTCAGCCATACAGCGACGAGACCAAGTCTCCATACATGGACATTTTAAGTACTAAGGTTAAAATGAGTTTGTTTGTTTGTTGTAAAAAAAGCATATTTTTTCATTGGAATATCATTTACAAACAGAAAAAGTCACAGCACCAAATTTTAAAACAAGCAATCCGTCATTCACATTAATTACAATTTATGATACAAGTACAAGTAGTTCACAATGAGATGCCTGCACGCGATGGTGCTAACACGACATATCATTACTCGAAGGCAGAAAAAATGTCACAGTGCTAATTCTTGTCTTATAATTGCCTTTTGGCAAAGAGTAATTATGAAAAATATAAAAGCACTGTTATGATCCACGGCATCTCATAAATCATACTATAAAAACTTATATCCCCGTACGTCTTACAGAACACGTTTTGCTGGATGTGTATCTCCAGGAGATCGACTTCGACGTAACCATGGTAATTTGGAACCATTACATTTATGTATATTTTTTTACACCACTTATCCACATGTTCTGAACAAAATAGTTAGGAATCATGAATAGTTTTTCAGATTTTTCGTCGTCAAAACTCAGTTTCTTTATATGTGTAGGATTTTTAAACATATTTCAGGATCAATAACCTGTTTTGCTACTGAGCGAGTGAATTTAGTTTTACGCCCGTTTTAGCAATATTCCAGCAATATCACGGCGGGGGACATAGGGCCTATATTTTCGAAGCTCTGTTAGCGCTAAGATAGTCGGAAGTGCCATACATGAACATTAACGTACGACTATCTTAGCGCTAAGAGAGCTTCGAAAATCTAGGCCAACAAACGGGCTTCACACATTGTACCCATGTGGGGAATCGAACCCGGGTCTTCGGCGTGACGAGCCAACGCGTTAACCACTAGGCTACCCCACCGCCATCATTCTATTAGTATACACCGGCAAATGTAAGGGCATGCAGTGAGTTCATTCATGTCACAAAAGACAAATTTGCGATCAATACGCATTCCATTTTTCTAAAATCTGGGAACGTATCTGGAAGTCTTCAACGCGACAAACTCTCGTTGCTAAGGGGTGGTGGGGTAGCCTAATGGTTAAAGCGTTGGCTCGTCACGCCGAAGACCCGGGTTCGAATCCCCACATGGGCACAATGTGTGAAGCCCATTTCTGGTGTCCTCCGCCGTGATGTTGCAGGAATATTGCTAAAAGCGGCGTCAAACCAAACTCAGTCAGTCTTGTTGCTAAGGCAGTGATTGTTGTTTTACGCAGTAATCGGGTCTATTCCAGATATATGACTGATGGCTATATACCCGATCGCATCTAGGTCAGTTTGGCAGGTTGCAACTTCTTATGGTGGTATAAGAGGCATAAGTGCATGTATCGATTTCAGGAGGTTTCATATCTTGATATTATCAAATCACTGGATGATTATCTGAAGTTTGTTGTTTACCGCCGCACTCAGCAATATCCCAGCTATATGACAGCGGTCTGTAAATAATCCAGTCTGGACCAGACAATCCAGTGATCAACAGAATGAGTATCGTTTGGGGTACGATGACACGTGTCAACCAAGTCAGCGAGATTGACCACCGATGCCGTTTGTCACCTCGATCCTGCGACAAGCATGGGTTGCTTATCTTGATTCTCACGGTTTTGAGCTTGACATGTTTTTGCGTGTGATGCAACATTCCAGCAATATCACGTTGGGGAACACTAATAACTTCAAACATTGTATCCATGTGGGGAATCAAACCCGGGTCATCGGCGTGACGAAATAAAGCTTTAACTACTAGGTTATGTAAACCCGAGCTAATGGTTGAGGTGAGTCACGATGAGTCGGGGCGAGGCTTGGGGTTGGGGTATATTGATTGGGATGGGATGGAGTTGGGATTGGGGATAGGGATTGGGTTGAGGGTTGAAAATAGGGTTGAGGCTGGACCTGGGGAGAGGGTTGGGGTTGAGGATAGGGTTGAGGCTGGACCTGGGGAGAGGGTTGGGGTCGAGGATGGGGTTGAGGCTGGACCTGGGAAGAGGGTTGGGATTGAGGATGGGGTTGAGGCTGGACCTGGGGAGAGGGTTGGGGTTGAGGATAGGGTTGAGGCTGGACCTGGGTAGAGGGTTGAGGATGGGGTTGAGGCTGGACCTGGGGAGAGGGTTGGGGTTGAGGCTGGACCTGGGGAGAGGGTTGAGGTTGAGGCTGGACCTGGGGAGAGGGTTGAGGTTGAGGATGAGGGTTGAGGTTGAGGCTGGACCTGGGGAGAGGGTTGGGGGCTGGACCTGGGGAGAGGGTTGGGGTTGAGGCTGGACCTGGGGAGAGGGGGTTGGAGTTGAGGATAGGGTTGAGGCTGGACCTGGGGAGAGGGTTGGGGGTTGAGGATAGGGGTTGAGGCTGGACCTGGGGAGAGGGTTGAGGGTTGAGGCTGGACCTGGGGAGAGGGTTGAGGGTTGAGGATGGGGTTGAGGCTGGACCTGGGGAGAGGGTTGGGGTTGAGGATAGGGTTGAGGCTGGACCTGGGGAGAGGGTTGAGGTTGAGGCTGGACCTGGGGAGAGGGTTGAGGTTGAGGATGGGGTTGAGGCTGGACCTGGGGAGAGGGTTGGGGTTGAGGATAGGGTTGAGGCTGGACCTGGGGAGAGGGTTGGAGCTGAGGATGACCTGGGGAGAGGGTTGAGGTTGAGGCTGGACCTGGGGAGAGGGTTGGGGTTGAGGATAGGGTTGAGGCTGGACCTGGGAGAGGGTTGAGGCTGAGGCTGGGGTTGAGGCTGGACCTGGGGAGAGGGTTGGGGTGAGGCTGGACCTGGGGAGAGGGTTGAGGCTTGAGGATGGGGTTGAGGCTGGACCTGGGGAGAGGGTTGGGGTTGAGGATAAGGCTGAGACTGGACCTGGGGAGAGGGTTGGGGTTGAGGATGGGTTGAGGCTGGACCTGGGGAGAGGGTTGGGGTTGAGGATAGGGTTGAGGCTGGACCTGAGGAGGGCTGGGTTGGGCTGGGGTTGAGGCTGGACCTGGGGAGAGGGTTGAGGAGGGCTGGGAGGCTGGACCTGGGGAGAGGGTTGGGGGGGTTGGGGGGTTGAGGATAGGGTTGAGGCTGGACCTGGGGAGAGGGTTGAGGTTGAGGCTGAGGCTGGACCTGACCTGGGAGAGGGTTGGGGTTGAGGCTGGGTTGAGGCTGACCTGGGGAGGGGCTGGGTTGAGGGGGTTGGGGGATAGGGTTGAGGCTGGACCTGGGGAGAGGGTTGGGGTTGAGGATGGGGTTGAGGCTGGACCTGGGGAGAGGGTTGAGGGCTGAGGATAGGGTTGAGGCTGGACCTGGGGAGAGGGTTGGGGTTGAGGAGGCTGGACCTGGGGAGAGGGTTGGGGTTGAGGCTGGACCTGGGGGTTGAGGCTGAGACCTGAGGCTGGAGGCTGGGGTTGAGGATAGGGTTGAGGCTGGACCTGGGGAGAGGGTTGGGGTTGAGGAGGCTGGACCTGGGGAGAGGGTTGAGGGCTGAGGATGGGGTTGAGGCTGGAGGTTGGGGAGAGGATAGGGGCTGAGGCTGGACCTGGGGAGAGGGTTGGGGTTGAGAGCTGGACCTGGGAGAGGGTTGAGGGTTAGAGGGGAGAGGGTGAGGCTGGGGCTGAGGGGAGAGGGTTGGGGTTGAGGCTGGACCCTATGGAGGAGTTGGGTTGAGATGGGGCTGAGGATGGGCTGAGGCTGGACCTGGGGAGAGGGTTGGGGCTGAGGCTGGACCTGGGGGTTTGAGGATAGGGTGGAGGCTGGACCTGGGGAGAGGGTTGGGGTTGAGGCTGGACCTGGGGAGAGGGTTGGGGCTGAGGATAGGGCTGAGGCTGGACCTGGGGAGAGGGTTGGGGTTGAGGCTGGACCTGGGGAGAGGGCTGGGGGTTGAGGATGGGGTTGAGGCTGGACCTGAGGAGAGGGCTGGGGTTGAGGATAGGGCTGAGGAGCTGGACCTGGGGGGAGAGGGTTGGGGAGGCTGGACCTGAGGAGGGTTGGGTTGAGGCTGGACCTGGGGAGAGGGTTGGGGTTGGGGCTGAGGGTTGGGGCTGAGGATGGGGTTGGGCTGGACCTGAGGGAGAGGGCTGGGGTTGAGGATAGGGTGAGGCTGGACCTGGGGAGAGGGTTGGGGTTGAGGGCTGAGACCTGGGAGAGAGGGTGGGGGGGTTGAGGAGAGGGTTGGCTGAGGCTGGACCTGGGGAGAGGGGGGAGGGGGGATAGGTTGAGGCTGGACCTGGGGAGAGGGTTGGGGTTGAGGATGGGGAGGGGTTGAGGCTGGACCTGGGGAGAGGGTTGGGGTTGAGGATAGGGTTGAGGCTGGACCTGGGAGAGAGGGGTTGGGGATAGGGTGAGGCTGGACCTGAGGGAGAGGGGTTGGGGAGGATAGGAGGGATGAGGGCTGGACCTGGGGAGAGGGTTGGGTTGAGGGATGGGGTTGAGGCTGGACCTGGAGGGTTAGGGAGGGTTGAGATAAGGGTGGACCTGGGGAGAGGGTTGGGGTTGAGGCTGGAACCGAGGAACTAGTTTTCTAAGAAGCTGCAACAGAGAAAAGTCGCTGGTCGCTTCTTCGAATCTTAGTGTTCAGGACTCCATGTGTCACCGCAGTGGTAAACATCCAACCTGCAACAGTTCGGGTCTTCCTCCCGCATCAAACAGACCCGCAGTGATGCTGTTCAATGCAGCAATAATCCCTTGGAAGGCACTCACTCACTGTGGACACGACCCTTGAAGATCCGAGTTACAATTGATCCTCACTAACCCATGCTTGTGATAAGGGGCGAGTTACGGGATCGGGTGGTCAGGCTCGCTGACTTGGTTGACACATGTCATCGATCCCAATTGCTCATGCTGTTGATCACTGGATTGTCTGGTACAGACCGCCGCCATATAGCTGGAATGTTGCTGAGTGCGGCGTTAAAAAACCAACCAACCAACCACTCTAGACTCGGCTGTTGTTGCAAGGCTACAAGGGAGTATTTTGCACCGGAATATTCATGAGAGTCATTATGCATACGACTACGGTTTGAACCGACATGTTTTCGAGCCTTGGTCGCTTTCCTTTACAATACAACGAGAGCTGACAGGATACTAATATGTAATATCACATTTTATCACCAACTGAAACATTAATCACGTGACACACAAATGTACATCAGTGAATAATAACTCCAACAGTCCAGCTCTCTAAGCAGTCTGAATGAGCACTCGCGCGTCTCTGGAGCCTTGTGATTGAGCTTCCTACCAATCTTAACCGACATCTCGCTGGTATTGACCGCAGAGTGGTCGTAAACGGAAATGAGCAAATTGCAGCTTTATGTCGCGTTCAGGTCATCTCGGCACTGCATGCGTCGTCGTTGATGTCGTAAAGGGGGGGTTGACGTAGATTAGTGTGGCTGTTCTGACGTCTCGGTGCTGCCTCTTTCGTAGTCGATGTCGTATGGTGAAGCTGAAATGTAATGGTTGTCTGCATCGTCCCTGTTTGTAGTCTGTGCTACATCCGTCGTAGATGATGTTGTATGGTCAGGATGGTGTCTGCTTTCTCTGTATGTAGTCTCGGTGTTGCGTCCATCGTAGTCGATGTCGTAAAGCGGGGTTGACGTACATTAGTGTGGCTGTTCGGACGTCTCGGTGCTGCCTCCGTCGTAGCTTATGTCTTATGGTGAAGCTGATATGCAATGGTTGTCTGCATCGTCTGTTTGTAGTCTGTGTTGCATCCGTCGTAGTTGATGTCGTATAATCAAGTTGACACATGGTAATGTCTACTGCCTTTGTATTTAGTGTCGGTGTTGCGTTCATCGCTGTCGATGCCGTATGGTGAAGCTGAAACGTAATGGCTGTCTGCAGCATCTGTCACAGTTGATGTTGTATGGTGAATCACTCTCTGTCTCTGGTCTCGTTGTTGCATCCGTCGTAGTCGGTGTCGTATACTGCAGCTGAATGTAAATGTGCCGCCTCTGAATGAGGTCTCGGTGCTGCACCCGTCGTAGCTGACGTCGTATGGTGAATCTGTCATTGTCACTGGTCTCGTTGATGCATCCGTCGTGGTTGATGTCGCATACTGCAGCTGAAATGTAATGGTTTTCTGTACCAACTTTATATGACGTCTCTATGCTGCACCCGTCGTAGTTGATGTCGTATGGTGAAGCTGTCATGTGACGATTGCATCGTCTCTGTATGTTGTCTCGGTGCTGAACGCTTCGTAGTTGATGTCGTAAAGCCTAAAACTTTTCACGTAACAAGAGCCAACTACACCATGAAAATTGTTAATCATCACCCAACTTGTACATCACTTTAAACCACTAGGGAAAGTTATGTCCCTTGTTCTTGGAAGTGTTTTATTAGCATAACTGATTAACTGCCCTAGGGCAATTATTTCTATTTAAAAACAATAAAATAGTACTTATTTTGATCATCTTCATCATGCCTAATACAGTACACGCGTATTAAATAAGTATGCTCTCGTGGTGTAAGCCGTTTAATCACCTTCACTACGGTAGTTATTTAGATAAACTCTGCTCGGGCTAAAGCCCTCGAAGAGTTTATTTAAATAACTACCTTGTAAGGGTGATTAACCTATACATATCTCTAACTTCATGCCTCTTTTGGAAATATCTACATGTATCATTTTTTTCAGTTTGGTGTATGTCTAATAGTGAGTAAGTTTTATTTTTACGCCGCTTTTAGCAATATTCCAGCAATATCACGCGGGCGACACCAGAAACGGGCTTCACACATTGTACCCATGTGGGGCATCGAACCCGGGGCTTGAGCGTAACGAGCGAACGCCTTAACCACTAGGCTACCCCACCACCCGCATGTCCTATCACATGGAGAAATCAACCATCCTTATTTGAACTGCTATCGGTAGTCCAAGAACATATTTTACATACAAGTTGGGGGCGAAGTCTTCTGGTTAAAGCGTTCGCTCGCCATGCCGAATCTCCGTGTTCCATCCCGAAATTATGTAAAGATCAGCGGTGTCCCCGCAGTGGTATTGCTGGAATTGACTAAAAGATACAAAATACAATACAATGGTATGCATCTATAACTATTTCGCGTGCAGTGTATTAAATACCATAGATAGTACCATGATTTCTGTAAACATAAACGTTATGTGCACAATTAATAATATTCATCTAACATATATGGATTTTTACTTTCGTTGGGGTGTTATATTGATAGAGAAAATGAAATTCATCTCCAGTACCTGGTGAATGGGGGATTAGCACGTCCTATCCTTACTGCCCCTTCTGAAGTGAATTGATAAGAGTAAAACATATTCATCGTAATCAAACGGTTATACCAATACATTGTAGATATCAGATTTTGAAATGAAAATTTGAGAATTTCGCAGCAGATATTGTCAGAAGATTTTTAACAAAACGATACCAAACGATGAAAAAACAACAACAGGACACCCCCCCAAAAACAACCAAAACAAAACAAAACCCCAACAAAACAAACAAACAAAAAAACAACAACAAAACCCAAAAAACAAAAAAAACAAAAACAAAACAAAAACAAACAAATCAAACAGCAACAACACAACAAACACATAAAAAAAACTAAAACAAAACAAAACAACAACCAAAAAAACCAGCTACATCACTGTGGGGGACACCAGAAATGGGCTTCACACATTGTACCCATGTGGGGAATTGAACTTGGGTCTACGGCGTGAAGAGCGAACGCTTTAACTACTAGGTTACCCCGACCCGTGAAGGTCCGGGTTAGAATATTGATCTTCAGTAACCCATGCTTGTCGCAAGAGGCGGATGGGGTGGTCAGACTCGCTGACTTGGTTGACACATGTCATCGGTTCCCAACAGTCTAAGTAAACTTAGGCTCAGTATTATTCGTTACACAGTATAGCAGTGTAACGAATAATACTGAGCCTAAGTTTACTTAGACTGAGGTTCCCAATTGCGCAGATCGATGCTCATGCTGTTGATCACTGGATTGTCTGGTCCACGCTCGATTATTTAGGGACCGCCGCCATATAGCTGGAATATTGCTGAGTGCGGCGTAAAACAAAACTCACTCACTCACTCACTAACTAAGCTACGCCACCGCCCCTGTACAAAAAGAGACAAGAGCAATTCTTAATTTCCGAGCTGAGACAATCTAGAGTGTCCAATCAGTCTACACTTGAGTTGGGCTTCTTTTGACTTATCCGGGAGGGTCTGAGAGAGTGTGTGAGTGAGGCATGGTGTACTCATCATTTAGCACCATACAAGCAGCCATAGGTAGGACAGCAATGAACTTTACACATTGTACTGAATGTGAAGAATCGAACACCGGACGAGCCAACTCTTTAACCACCGACCAACCCATTGTCAGTACAAGGCTTATGAGGCAGTGGGTTAGCTTAGTGGTTAAAGCGTATGCTCGTCACGCCGAAGGCCCGTGTTCGATTCCTCACATGGGTACAGTGTGTGAAGCCCATTTCTGTTGTCCCTCGCTGGAATATTGCTAAAAGCGGCGTAAAACCATACTCACCCACTCACCAGAACAAGGTTTTCGTACATTTTTAAGCTTGAAAATCAGGAAAAACGTAATGTAAGTATGTTTTTGTTCTGTATGGAAGGACCGCCTCAGTGGTGTCGTGGTAAGAGCGTCCGCCCAGAGGGCGGAAGGTCGCGGGTTCGATCCCCGACCGCGTCATACCAAAAGACGTTAAAATATGGTACTTGTTGGTCCCTGCTTGGCGCTCGGCAATAATGGGTACAACAAGGACTGGTCGGCTCGGAGTCAGTATAATGTGTCTGTGTGGGATATTCATGCTTCACTGCGACATGGTATCTCAGTGGGCTAGCACTATAAGACCAGCTTAAGTCTGGGCTAATACAAGCAGCCGCACATACACCTACACACGCATGCACGTCGTCATATGAGCGAAATATTCTCAAGCACGACGTTAAACCCAATTTCACCTCACCTCACCTCACCTCACCTCTGTATGGTAGTGTGTTGGTGCCACTTCTACACACACACAAAAAAAGGATAAATAAAAAATATAAATATCACCTAATCTACGTAAATGCTGTTTTTTTTCCAATGTGACACGAATGTCCGTACCTTGCAGAAAAGAGGAACTGACGTAGAGACTCAGAGATATTCTAGTTGACGTCTCTCAGACCTACGGTCCTGAAGCAATCACCTAAGGTGATTCCCATGAGGTATTTTAGACTTTTATCAAAGAGTATTACTAAGCCTAATTGAGACAGTCGGAATGACCTTCCAAGGACTCCGTGGTGTGAAAAGCTAGAAGACTACCTGTCAAGGAGAATTTTCTCCTTTATTTGATTGTACAACCTTAACATTAAATCTCCGTCGACAAATCGCTCAGTTTGGACGAGGGTTGATCTGCAAGGCTGACATTTTTGATGAAGTAAAATGCACAACGTTATTGAATTTCGTGCTGTGAGTGACTCCAATACCTCGCTCCATTTGTCTACATTAGACGTGAGGCACGGTCTAAATAAACACGTCTAGACCAGGATGGTGTAAAAAGTCGGAACAGCGCTCCAAGGAGATAACAAGAACGAAAGACGATTTGCGATCGGAACATCAGTGATCATCAGGGGAGGGCATGAATTAGTAGGCCAAGGGCTATTTTCAGTCTAGAATTCAGGGAATAGGCGGGTGCCCATTGAAAGCTATTATTTCTACGTGGATGTGATTCACACACGAACGACCAACCTCAGCGGGATAGGAAGTTGTCTGGTCACCAGTTTGTTTTTCGCGTCAACATTTGTAGGTCAATGATTAATTATTGACCAGACGAAAGCGCATGCTTTTTTCGTGCTGACACATTTTGGTGTAGAAGACGTAATATCCACGTCTTTGGTTTGAGTTCAGGTAAAAAATATTCTATACAATCTACAAAAAGTCTCTTCCCTTAGGGAGGTGTGAATAAATTTGTAAAATTATTCAAACTAATAATAAGCGCTTGTTTTGACGTAAATGAACACGTCATTTATGATACAGTACGTTCAAATAACATTAAATGGCTAAATGCAACTATTGATGATACCTCTGTCCGGATGTTAGATCACTTCGGGTCATGAGTGAGTGCGTTTAGTTTTACCCCGCTTTAGTTTTCACGCCGCTTTAGCAATATCTCAAACAATAATTTCTTACACGGCAAGGACACCAGAAATGGATGAATTTCACACATTATGCCCATGCGGACAAATCGAACCTTGTCTTCGGCGTTACGAGCGAATGTAATTTCACATTACAAGGAAAACGCAGAAGTTGGAACAGTGAAAAATGCACGTGCACTAATGGTCTTTAGAGTCTTTTAGCGGTGAATAATGTCATACAACGAATGTAATCGAAAATGTAATCGAAAACAGATCGCGTATAATACATATAATAAATCTATATTCTCAACTGGGCTTGTTTGGCTTAAAGGGTAAGTTTAACCTGAGGTGATGTTTATGAATGAACATATACACGATCAATCTATACTGCTGATTACATTTTCAGTTCTTCAGGAGACCAGTTTAAATCAAGTGGCACCAATTACGTCATAATCAAAGGGTGCTAACTCTGGCCTGTTTAGCTCCGCAAACACAGGCCTCATAATGCATAACATTTCAACACTTTTAAGACCCGTAAAGATCCGGGGTAGAATAGGCCTTCAGCAACCCATGTGCTTGCCATAAAAGGCGACTATGCTTGTCGTAAGAGGCGACTAACGGGATCGGGTGGTCAGTTTCGCTGACTAGGTTGACACATGTCATCGGTTCCCAATTGCGCAGATCGATAACTTTGCTGTTGATCACTGGATTGTCTGGTCCAGACTCGATTATTTACAGACCGCCGCCATATAGCTGGAATATTGCAGAGTGCGGCGTAAAAAACTAAACTCACTCAACACTTTTAATGAGGGTTATACTTTCATTGTTTGAAAAATGAGTATATATTTTCAAGCAAAGATATTAATTGATTTACAAATTCCATTTTGTTTCAAGAGTCATGCATGCTTATCGGTATAACGTTACA